GGGGGGGTTATATGTTGATTCGCTGGTTGCATCTGTAGAAACTAGGAAAGGCAATAAAGAACTTAATCTATAGAAAAGGTTTGAGAACATCGGAGATGCCAAATCTCTTAAATCAAGACGTAATTAGTTTTACCATTAGTTAACCAGATACAAGATGCTATTTCATTCCCATGATGAATGCATGCAAAATAGTCCAAACTGGCATCAGTTATGCGCGTGAACAAACTTCACATGTTACTTCTCAAACTACATTGAATTGCCAATAATGCAGAAGCTAACATCAATTTGACTTCATACAAAAAATTTAATCTTGAACTTACAAATAAATTGCATAAATCATCTCTAATAATTTGCTTTGTCTCAGTTTTGTGACTTTGTCCCTAAAAATCCGGAAGGCTTAAATCCATCAATGGTGTCTCGAATAAGTTTCGATTTCGTCACATCTATTACTAATGTCGTAATTAAGATACATTGTTTAAATGCTTTTGGCCACAGCGCCAGTATTTTCCAATCACATGATTCAAACACGACAAAAAGGTCATGTTAAGAAAACTCTCCATTTTTTTTTGTGGGGGGGTAAAGATGTACTAAATGGTTTCCAGAAAAACTAAACCCTTAATTCCTTCTTTCGTTCAACTATAGTTCAAGCCCCCTCACACTTTTGGTAAGCAAATAAGGTTTCTAAGCATGAATAAGGGCCAAGTCCTCCTCTGACTTGAACTGGCTGATACTGGCCTTGACCCTTAAGCTTCTAAAGAGGGTGTCATGAGCACTGAGGGGGGAATTTAGTTGCATTGGCGGTGTTTCCCTCACAGAAAAGAAGGTTAACCAAATTACAGGAAGAATGAAAGGTCCTAAAATGTCTCCCTTCTTTTCATTGATACAGCAAGGCTGTGGAACGGCTAAAACACTCAAAGAAGCACATTTGGGAAAATAGGTAGGAGAATGGTACTCAAAACACATTTTTCAAACACTAAAAATAACTCAACTAATTAAGAATGTGAAGGATGAAATTTAAAGATTTTGTAATATTAGGGACACAATCAGAACAAATCCCAAAGACCTGGTACAATTTGATTTTTTTTCTAATTTATTATGAATTACTGTAAAAAAATCTAAAGGATCCATCCTTATTCATGGCAATTTAATTTCCATAATGACAAACCTCTCAGTTAATAAGGACCAGCCTTCTAGTCAATTAGCGACAGGAAGTTAACTGGCAAGTGGAAGAAAGACACTTTACTTCACGTAGAAATGAGAAACATGATGTTCCAGGCTAAGTCAACCTCGAGTCTCTGTGCAATATTCTGCACTTTTATCCCATTAACTCACATCAGTTTCTTCAGATGCTGACCCCCTCTCTCTGCCTTTCTTTTCTGTCGTGTTTTTTGGTAATAATTACAAATTTTTAACTGCAACTACTGCTCTAATTTTTGCAACATAACCTTGAAGACGGCACATAGAAGTACTAACTTGTATCCAATATATGAGTTCAAAACACTCGAGTTAGAATTCTCACGGTGCATCTCAATCATAGCTATGACAAGCTAGGCCAAAGCACCAGAGAAAAGTGAAATTTCTAAAAGACGGCCTGTATAGTTCAATGTATACAAAATCAAATATATAGATACAAATCTTCACATGCTATGCTGAAGGAAGATGAGGCTATAATGAACTTCTGGCGACATACAACATATACAAAATTAATATTACCTCTGCGGTTCACCTTAAAAGGTTCAATCAACACATGCCACTCAAGTGTAATAACTTCATGTTCAAGAAATAACAGTGAAATATAAAGAAAAAGATAGATGTAGACAAGAATGGACAGAGAACATATACAGAATGCCAGTTTACATCATAATTAAGAAGCAGCAATAATCACAAATCCTAAGAAAAAAACATTAGAACAGCTTAAAGAGACCAAATCAAAGTGATAGGCCAACAAGATAGAGATAGATTATAGCAGAATGATAAAGCTTTTCCTGAAATGATGGTAATTCTATAATCAACAAGGAGGCAGATAGAGGGAAAAGGAGCTTACTTGATCGGTATCTTGTAATGGGAATTTCTCGCAATTCACGTTTTATGCACAAATATTCACCTAACAATGCCATCACCGCAAGCCCAGTAACATTCACAATCCACCATGTTATTGAGGAAGGCCAACCACCATAGACAATGCATATAAAAAGATGGACGATGTAGAGTGTTGCAGAAAAATCAAGGCACTTCTTTGCCCTCTCAATCAAATAAAGTAAAATGCCAGCTCTGTTAAGGGCAACACGACAAATTGGAAATTTAATTACGCAGGTAAATCAAATTCTTGAGAATAATATTTTCCCACATGAGAACACCATGTGTAAAGGAAACCCACACAAGGTTCGAACAAGTAGACAACTTTGGAGCATTTACCTTACCCCAGAAAGGGAAAAAAAGAGTATACAACAATGGAGGAACAAAGCTAAAATATATAACTCATTCTTAACTCATCTTTTTG